TCATGTTTAAATTTCTCTGGTGTTTAAACACCCATTCAAAATTGATTAGAAATATTCAAATTAACATGCTTATGTCCAAAGTCGACATAACAATTTATCATTCCAAATCACTTGAAATCATTGTTAAGAAATAACTTGAGTTGATATCATACATGCATATCAAACGCATCAACTAAAAATAATGAATTAACAAAATAAATTAATCATGCACGATCCTATCACTTGCATCATGAAATAAAAGGATTCTCAAATCATAAATAAAATCCAACGCATTTAAACTTTAAACTTCAAAATGACAAAACATACCTTCATTTAATAAGTTTGATTTGTACATAAATAAACAAATTAAATATGCATTAAAATGCTCTTGTGAATATATATATATATATATATATATATATTTTCCGACTCAAGTACCTTTTCACAAAGGGTTCAAAAAATAAGTGGTCTACCAAACGAAACCACAAGTTACTTACAAAATTAACAGATTGTGACCGAGTCACAAAGTTATATGATTGATTAACAAAATTAATTTTCTAATTACTAAAACCAGAAAATAAATTACAATACAAAATAATTTTATTTTCCTTGTTACTAAAACTAGAAAATAAATTACAATACAAAATAATTTTATTTTCCTTGTTACTAAAACTAGAAAATAAATTACAATACAAAATAATTTTATTTTCCTTGTTACTAAAACTAGAAAATAAATTACAATACAAAATAATTTTATTTTCCTTGTTACTAAAACTAGAAAATAAATTACAATACAAAATAATTTTATTTTCCTTGTTACTAAAACTAGAAAATAAATTACAATACAAAATAATTTTATTTTCCTTGTTACTAAAACTAGAAAATAAATTACAATACAAAATAATTTTATTTTCCTTGTTACTAAAACTAGAAAATAAATTACAATACAAAATAATTTTATTTTCCTTGTTACTAAAACTAGAAAATAAATTACAATACAAAATAATTTTATTTTCCTTGTTACTAAAACTAGAAAATAAATTACAATACAAAATAATTTTATTTTCCTTGTTACTAAAACTAGAAAATAAATTACAATACAAAATAATTTTATTTTCCTTGTTACTAAAACTAGAAAATAAATTACAATACAAAATAATTTTATTTTCCTTGTTACTAAAACTAGAAAATAAATTACAATACAAAATAATTTTATTTTCCTTGTTACTAAAACTAGAAAATAAATTACAATACAAAATTTTGATCAAGTCCAGTGTTTGACACTGTGTCCTTAAGACAGATTCGTCCTCTCCACGGTGCTTTCAGAATGTGGACGTCTATCTCCTAGGATAAAATGATCTACTACAAACAATAGCAGCACTACAAATTGTTTGTCTAACGAACACACAAACTGTTTATACTTTCTCTGACAAGAAAATAATGCAGCAAAATGAAGAGGATGTTTGCAGAATTATGAAGGACGAAAATTAGAGTTCTTAAAAATCCAAATGAGGGCTGTCCTATTTATAGATGGAATGGTGGCGCCAGGTTTTTGAATTGAACAGGTATGATACTTGTTGATTTTGAATTCAAACAGATTTGAATATGTTGGGTTACAATTCAAACAGATAACAAAAACGGGAAGGGCCTTGTTTGGGTGTACAGTAAATCCGGATTAAATTATTTCCGGTTTAATACGGGAAGGGCACTGTTTGGATGTACAGAAAAACCAAACCAGTTTAATTTGAATTCTGGATTTTATTTTACCAAAAATAAAATTAAATTCAAATGTTTTTAGCCCAAAAGGATTAATATTGGGCCGAACAAGCTGAATCCAACCTCACACCTGCGCCCAGCCTGCCCGATCGGACGGACAGCGATGCGCGTGCGTGTGGTGATTTATGGGTCTAGCCCATTTTGCCTATAACCTCTCCCTCTAAAACACTTGGGTACCCCTTGGGGCACACCCCAAGTACCAAACCCAAGCCTTATAAACCCTTTCAAAACCTCCCACCAAATCAATGTGGGACAAGCCATTTTACAACTTTAAGGAATTTCCACCAAAACTCCATTTCCATGGAGCATACTTTGGCTTCAATTTCTCATTCACTCGGTAATGGTTTTGAGCAACCAAATATACCATGTGAATCACAACACGGCATAGAACGCGTTACCACTTTGACCCGTGAAGATCGACGCACGGGGCCCACCTAAAAAATAGACCGAACTTAGAATAAAATTCTGTTTTTACCCAGAAATTATAACCATTTCCAACAAATTTGTGATAGGGTATAAGTAAAAATCTGTGGGGATGCGAGTCTCACTTTCATCCCATCGTATTTATGTATTTTCTTTTTCACTATTTAACTGTTAAGTAATTCTCTCTAAAAAATTTAAGATTTAAATTTAAATAATTAAAAAAATTAGCTTGAAGTCAGCATAAACAAAGAATATGTGAATGTTATTGTTAAAAAAATATCACTGTTGAAATCGAAATTTTGAGTGGATCACTTCATACGTAATTGTGTAAGAGGCCTATAAATTGCTTCTCTGTTGTTATTTGTTATTTTAAGGTAATAAAATAAAAAAAAATAATTAACTAGAAAGTTTGTCAGTCGTAATAAAAGAAAGATGAACCCTAAGAATATTAGTGAAATTTTACTATGTTAATGGAAAATGGACTTTTGATTCTTGTTTGACTAGAAAATGAAATTGATTACACGAAAGTATGATTTTAATTTAATATTAAGAAAATAATGAAGTATTTTTATGTGTGTTTTCATATTTGTTATATATAGTTATATTTATTAACAATAAAATTCTAATTATGAGAGATGCCGTCTTGATCCTCTCTTTTTTATTTTGAACGCGAAAAAGGAATGTTTTATGTGATATCATTAGGACTGTAAATGAGCCAAGTCAAGTCAAGTTTTGGTACGTTTGAACTTATTTATTAAGATTTTAATAAGTTCAAATATGAGTTCAAACTCAATAAAAATTTAACAAATCGAGCTCAAGCTGAGTTGACTTAGGTTTAACTCGAGCTCGAACCTATTCACAAGCGTTAACGACTGAAAAATTTTATAGATTCATACTTCCGTATGAGACTAAAGTTATAATTAAAATTTTGATTATACAATTATATATACAATATATATATATATGAACATACTAAAAAAAAGTTAATATTTTACCAAAATAATAATATCTACCACCACTATTATATAAATGTACAATCTATAGTTAATTATTATTTACATTTATATTTTTTAAATATATAAATAGCATATTTATCTTATTTTTTATACATATTTTTACATTATTTACTATATAAATAATAAATGTTAAACGAGCCGATTAACGAGTCAAACTTTAATGTGTTTAGGTTCATTTATTAAAAATTTAAACTTGAGCTCAAGCGCAAAAAAAATTAAACAAATCGAGTTTAAATGAGCTCTTATCAAGCCGAGTTTGAGTTTATTCACGAACGGCTCTATTTCTTTGCAGCCCCTAGGTATTATAATATCCGTAGGTCCTGGTCCTGAGGTAATCGTTTTCCAACCAGATTTAACTTAACCAAAAGGAAGGAACCCACTACTGAGGCAAGAGAGAAATGCACTAACCTTCAATACAAAAGGCTGAGTCACGATTAGAGTATAACATAGTCAATTTTACTGTTTGTAAAACGAGCCACTAGTTACGCCTCCAAGAATCAAGTCATGCTCAATTGTGTGAAAGGAATGCACTTTTTTGCTCCACCACCACCCCCAATGGTGACAGAATCTAATTTGAGTTGACAAATTTTAAGTCAAATTAGGTCAAATCGACAACAATAAGTTTACAGATACAAACTAACCACTTAAAATATAAATGGAGCAATATAAATAAAACTGTTTCCTTTATAACAAATTTGGCCAATTAATATGTATGACCATGATTATTTTATGAGATTGGTTATGTATCCGTAAATTCTAAAGCACTAACACCCTACCCTGTTTTTGGTTTTCTTTTCAAAATTTGATTTTTGAATTCGTTTTTGAAAATTTTCAGAAAACAATACAAAGTTATCTAAGGCTGTATTTGGTACAGCTTTTGAATCATGATTCTACCTTTTAGTTTGAGTGTGGTATTTGTTTACAGTTTTCAAAAATCATTTTCACACCTGCATTTGAAAATTCGTGTACCCGGATGTTCCCCGGACGTCCAGCCAATTGACCAGAACAGTGTTCATGTTTTTTTTTTTTTTTTTTTTTTTTTTTTTTTTTTTTTTTTTTTTTTTTTTTATATTTTAAATAAAAAATATTTTCAATTTTTTTTTTAATTTTTTATGAATTTTGAATAGAATTTTGAGTTGTGTGTTTAGTTATGAGTTGTAAGTTTTTATATCAAAAATTATGTCACGTCACTCAATTCAAAAACTCTTTTCAAAACTTTTTTTAAAGCTCATTCACCAAACAAATTTTCTACACTCAAATCATAATTCCAAAACTCAAAAACTCAAAATACAACTCATATTCTCAAATCATATTTAGAAAACTCAACCAAACACAACCTAAATTTTTCAGAAACAATTTTCAAAAAATAAAAACTAATTTGATAAAATAGATAAAACTAATTTTGAATTTTTAAAAATCATTTAGTCTCCCAAAGAGAAAAAACTATAGGAAAATGATCGATATTTTTCATTTTTTCACCAAACTATGTTTTAGATTTTTAGAAAAAATTTCTAAAAAAGATTCTGAAAAACAAACCAAATGGAGCTAGAAATTAGTTTAATGAAACTAAATGCCAAAAACATATTTTCAAAATTTTTAAAAATTATTCTCTCCAAAAAAGATAAAATCATATGAAAATAATAATAATGTATAGTTAAAAAAGAAAGAAGAGAAGAAGGAAAGGACTACCAAAAAAACGAAGAGGATCTGGGATCATTTGAATCAATCATTGATTAAAAATATCTGAAATTTAATTTCAGACATTTTTCTTAGAACTAGCAACCAACCCAGAATCAGTCCAGAAAAGAAGCAATAACAAACATTTTAACATCAAAATAGTAACATTTTCATTTTCTTTTCTCTTTCCTCATCCATGAACCAGACAGAACATTAGCAAGGAAGAACGAAACAACAAACATGATGTGAATCAAGTCTAAACCCTAAGAAATTTCAAAACAGCACTGATATATGTGCTTTTGTTTCACAACTAAGGTTTGATACTTCTCTGCAACTTTCTCAATAAGCACAATATTCTCCTTTTACATGTCCAACACAAATTAGCTTGGCGCCGATCTTCCATTCACATTATCTTGTCGATTAACAGAAGACGACGATGCTCCTTGAAACATCTCCATCACAGATCTCAAAGCCCCCGTTAGCTCCTCAGGCATTTGTTCCCCGAAATTGACGTTTACGTTGCCACTGACTCTTATTTCTGGCTCATCAACTGTATCAGTATTGCCATCTGCTTCTTGCCTGTGTTGAGGATGTTGTCCCTGAAACGCATTGCCAGCCATGTTCCTAAACATACTTGCAATATCTGCAGGAAGGCCATTAGCATTGAATGGCATTGATGTAAATGGCGGAGGCATGGCATGACTCCTCGGTTCCCCTGCAGACTGCTGATTTGATTCTTGATGACTTCCTGAACTCGAGTTCTGTACAAAGCAGAAAAGTAAAACATTTAATTGCAATATAACCACTAACTTCAAAAAGATGGCACATTAAAACTAGTTCTTACAAATTGCTCTAATTCTGAAAACCTATATATATTTGGTTTAGTGTTTCCTTTTGGATGCACATAACAATCAACAGTTTTTGTGAGAGGAAAACCAGTTGGTTCACAGTTGATGAGAGAGGAACCCCACGTGTTTCAATCTTTGAACTTGATCTTCTTGTTTAATACTCCTACATCCTATGCAAGGGTTCTAAACTGAGTTTTCTCACAAAAACCCACGCATATTTGCTTGCCAGCACAAATATGTCCGTCTCCATAATTTCAGTACAGTTGGATACCCTGTTCCAATCTTAGGTTGAGCATGCTAAAAAAAAACCAATAATCTGATTCATGCAATACTCAAAATTTGGAAAGGAAGGAGCCTAGTTTAGAATATTTAAAAGTTTCTTTGATACCTATAACGCACACGAGTATCCTTCTTAGCTGTCACAATGCAATTCCTATCTTATTCAAAACTACTGTGTTCTTTCTCAAGGGAATTCATTTCTCACACAGACCACAAATGTTACCTGATGATGTTCTGACCTTCGTTGCTCCTCTTCCAATTTTTGCTCTGCCACCTAAGTATCAAAATGGCAGTGAGATTATAATGACTAATAATGATGATGATGAAAATAATAATAATAATTAGTACTAACCCGAATATTCTCTTTCACAGAATCATTATTTGGATCCAATTCCAAGGCTGCAGAATGAAATCTCAAATTAGGAAATGACGGAGTTTGCTAGAATATTTCTTGTAAAGACTATAATTTCCAGATCACACCACTCATCTAGTGATAACTATTCTACGCAAAAAATGAGCTTTAGGCATGTCAGAGTGCATAATTCACTATCATTGATTTTAAAAGATATCAACCTACACAATGCATTTATTGTCTCCTCGTGTATTCCTTCTGGTTCTGGCTGTTGAATTTTTTTATGATGAATACGACCTATGGGATACCCGATGATTCCCATCTAATAACATTTTAACATTCAATTACCTCAACAGACAGTCTGGGTCTTTTGAACGTTTGTTTTTCATGTGTTTTACATCTTTGAATCATTTATAATTCAATTTCTGTAAACTAACATATTGATGTATTGTGGTCAATAAGATACCCAGGAAAAAGCAAATTCAAAACAATCATAAAAATGTGAAAGTTGGCTGGGTTCAAAGCTATGCTACATGGACTCAGGTGCAAATATCGGGTGTGGGCACATGTTCAAGCGTTATATCTTCCTAAACCTAAATTTTAAGATATATACATCCAAAAGTTGGGATGGGTACGGAGACACGTCTTAAACACTCAAATATTATATAATATTTTTAGATAAGATGTGAATTATTTAAAAATGTACTTCAAATTAAATAGGATTTAGGGAAAATTATGAAATTTATCTCTTTTATTCATGTGAGAAGTAAGAAATATTTCTCTACTTGCAAATACAAGCATCTTGATCTTCAAACACTATATAAACTTAGTGGATTCAAGTGTCTGAATGGGGTACGGGTACGGGTGTTGACACATTTACCTTTGTCATATCCTGTGGACACAAGTACACTAGGAAGAGTAGAGTCCATGAAATACAATATAAGGTTGGGTACCAACTGACACTATACAGGAAGAGTCAGTTCAGTGTGAGAATATTATTGTCCATCAAAGCAAATTATTACCAAATTTTCTGACACTGGTTCATATATATTGAACGACATAAAAACTACTAATACTTGTTGAATAACAAACAGAACAATAGACAAGATATTGCCATAAATACATGTATACATAGAAGATGGATAACAGACAGTAGATAAGGATATGGTTATTGCCTATTTCCAGTTAAAGCATCATTGATGCTCACAGTTTATTGTACTGTTTTACAAGTTATATGCATCATTTCAGAACTGATATCATACCAACCTTTCAAAAATCCTTCGTCGATAGCATCTCTGTAGTTCCCCTGTGCATAATACGCAAATCCCAGCCGACTGTATGCCTTGCTATAACTTGGCTTCATTTCAATGGATTTGAGACAGTCCCTGACTGCTTCTGCGTATTGATGGACCTGGGTGTAAGCAGCCGCCCTGGTAGGCATAGATTTTATTAAAACATCGAAGTAAAATAGAAAACAGAGATTGAAATTAACAGCAATCAGGCAAACAGACATTTTTATAAAATAGGAAAAGATCAAGGTCGTGTTTTGATTGATGGATTGGAAAAAAGTGGATTCAGTGTTCAAATTCACAAATATGCAAACAGACTGGCTATTAGAGCTGGATTGAGAGGTGAGACAACAAAGTAGACGTAGGAGCATAAGAAAGAGAAAAAAATCATTGTGAAACTCAGATTGCCATGGGATGGTTTTCAAATAACTCCATTCATTCCAAACCACTAACAAAAGCTCCCAATTCCATCCATAGACTACATTTAATTCCACATATATGATGTCACTGTTAAAATTTCACATCTAAAACCATTGATTTCAAATTAATCAATCAAAATAAAACCAAAGTAAACTTATAAAAAGCAAAGAATGCCAATTTTATACATGTTTGTCCTCAAAGATAGTAAGAACCACAGTTTCAGAATTCTTATTGAAGATGCAACTTTAGACAAAGGCTCTAAAAAAGTTGTAACCTAATATCCATCAATTTATCATGAGGACCAAAAACTAACGTATGATATGGTCTACAGTAAGGCGTTGACAAATCCAAACAACACATTCAACACCTTAAAAAGTTCCTTGATTAGTTGCATTTTTGTCTGCTAAAAACAGATTACACTTACTGCTTGTTTTCAGAATTCCTATTGATAGCAGAATTATGGGCATTTAACAGAGTTTTAGTTGTTACTTTGAAGAAATGCCATGAAGTAAATATATAAGGATATTTAAGCTTGAAAAATGAGACTTCCTTCAAGAACCCTATGGGTATTCCAAACATATCATTTCACTTACCAGTGCAGGTTGTCCTTGAATCTGGAGATACACAAGATAATCTCTTGGTTAAGCTAAATGGTCCAGAATCTCTATTACACATAAGATGCCAAACCAAACCAATTAACATACCCAAAGAAGCATAGTCACGGGCACCCGAAATGAATTTTTTTTTTTTAAATGCAAGACACAACACATGGGGAGCACACAAAATCTATAGTTTTATATATCGTACTATATATAAATATTTAATTCGAATATAACAAAAAATGCAACATAACACATTCCTAAAGTTTAAAGAAGATGTTAACTAGTATAATTATAAATCTAAATTAATTTTCTTTTATCATTGAATCACAGGTTACTATGTCCAAACTTGTAGTGTGTTTTATGAGTCTAAGCGATGATCACGTGTGTCCCCCATGTGTTTGAAGCATGTCCAGGTCTAACAATTTTTAAAAATAGTAAGATACATTCGGAAGTGTATCCGACACATGTTGGTGTCCAAAACATATCCATCACTTAGTTGGACACACACTTTTAAACAGAGTGACATTATTACATATAGATACCAGACAAAACATGGACACACATTTTTGAACAGTCTGATATTATTACATATAGATACCATACCAAACAAGGGTACATTTGAGGTGCTCTTCGGAAATCCAGAGAAAGTGTTAGATAATTTCTAGTGGCACCAAGTAAAGTCAAGGTCTTTAGGCAGCAGGACTAAACTTATGATGCATGAGCAAGGGCCTCAATGATGCCCTATCCAAACTAAAGATCCCACCATATCTATTCTACACTCACTAACATCCAATCACCAGCTAAGAACCATAATGTATTTGCAAAATCTTATTGACTTGAACAGGCCACTTGTTTACAAATGATGGTTTGCTTACACAAGCCTGGTATTCTTGTGGCACAGAGAGAGTTATTGATATCGAAAAAAGAAAACTAGAAGAAGTTGGTTAACCTAGAATTACAAATGAAATATAATTGCCAATTATACTGATGACAGTCACATCACTAATAATTCCAAACCAAACCAAACCAAACCAAAACAAGCCTTAAGTTCCATCAAATGGGGTTGGCTACATGAATTCTTCTTCTCCACTAGACTCTATCAACGGCCATTTGGTTAGTTAAATTAAGGAAATTCATATCTCTATTTATTACATTAGCCCACGTCAATCTAGGTCTGCCTCTTCCCCTAACACTTCCATCTACCGTTTCTGTATCGCATCTCTTCATTACTGTCTCTGTTAGTCTCCGTTGTATATGACTAAACCATCTCAATTTATTCTCTTTCAAACTTATCTTCTATCGGTACAACTCCTACTCATTCACGAATATACTTATTCTTAACTCTGTCTTTTCTAGTCTTGCCACACATCCACCTTAGCATCCTCATCTCAGCAACACTTATCTTATTTACATATTATTTCTTAATTGTCCAACATTTCACCCCATATAACATCGCTGGTCTAATAGCCGTTCCATAGAACTTTCAATTTAGTTTAGTGGATATTCGTTTATTACACAGTACCTCAGACGCACTCTTCTACTTAAGCCACCCCGCCTTAATTCTATGGATCAAATCCGCTCCAATCTCCCCAGCTGTAGTGATAATCAATCCTAAATAACAAAAATGTTCACTCTTAGGTAGTTTTTTATTCTCAATCTCCACTTCTCCATTGCTTCCATTGCCACTATTACTAAAATTACATTGCGTGTATTTTGTCTTAGTTTTGCTTATCCTAAATCCTTTAAATTCAAGTGCTTCTCTCCAAGTCTTTAACTTAGTGTTAACTTCTTCTCTAATCTCATCCACTAACACAATATCATCCACAAAAAGCATACACCATGGCACAAGTTACAACCAATGCCAAAGCATCATATTCAGAAATGAAAATCTTAAAATCATCAATTAACAAGTGCTGCACCTGTTGCAATAGTAAACAGCATTATCTGCACAAAGTGCAATAGCGAAAGTATACAGTTCAATTGCATCACAGTATAGCTTTGACTGCATGGCCCTGTTACCTACAGAAAAAAAGGCAGTATTACAACATATATGAGCTTGTATGCAACCCAAAAAGACTGTAAAATAATTTGTGGGAAATGAATAGTCACATAAATGGAGCATCAAAATTAGACAACTGCATGCATAATATGTGTGTAAAGATAATAACCACCATGCAGAAACCATAATCACTCTGGTTTTGAATAACAGAAACAATAAAATCATTCTTGGAAGACCACGAAAAGATATTAAAACAATCCAAGTACAAATTAAAATACAAGTAACCGCCAATCAAACAAACGCCAATGATTAAAAAGTACCTTGTGATTTGAAGGTCTCAGCCAGGTTTCTCACATCAAAAATCTGGCATCCAGACTTTTTCATCTCCTGTATTATTTTTTTCCAACTCATCAAGAGATGTGCTTGGACAAATAAGAATAGCAAGAATGTGGAAATAAACAGGCAAAGAACACAAAATAAAAAATAAAATAAAAGCGAACCATTAGCCAGTGTTGGGTTCAAACGACAAATTATCAAAGAGAAAGAAGCACAAGAAATTGAATGAGATTTCTTGTATCCGTTTAACGTAGGTATAGTGTTGGCCTCTATTTTAGGATGTAAAGTAGAATTCATGCTTTCTATTTTTTGTGTTTTTTCGAAAGAAGCAATTCGGAACCGTTACGTAACGGTGTGTAACAGGCCGTTACGACACCGTTACGATCGCTATAGCAGCCACTACGGCCGATCCACCTGTGAATCTCAATCACACTGCAAAAGCGGCCGTAACGAGTGGCGGTAACTACCACAACCGTTAACGGCGTTACGTAACGGTTGCGGCCACTTTTTAAAACCTTGTGTCCAAGTCTAACAATTTTTAAAAATAGTAAGATACATTCGGAAGTGTATCCGACACATGTTGGTGTCCAAAACATATCCATCACTTAGTTGGACACACACTTTTAAACAGAGTGACATTATTACATATAGATACCAGACAAAACATGGATACACACTTTTGAACCGTCTGATATTATGACATATAGATACCATACCAAACAAGGGTACATTTGAGGTGCTCTTCGGAAATCCAGAGAAGAGTGTTAGATAATTTCTAGTGGCACCAAGTAAATTCAAGGTCTTTAGGCAGCAGGACTAAACTTATGATGCATGAGCAAGGGCCTCAATGATGCCCTATCCAAACTAAAGATCCCACCATATCTATTCTACACTCACTAACATCCAATCACCAGCTAAGAACCATAATGTATTTGCAAAATCTTATTGACTTGAACAGGCCACTTGTCTACAGATGATGGTTTGCTTACACAAGCCTGGTATTCTTGTGGCACAGAGAGAGTTATTGATATCGAAAAAAGAAAACTAGAAGAAGTTGGTTAACCTAGAATTACAAATGAAATATAATTGCCAATTATACTGATGACAGTCACACCACTAATAATTCCAAACCAAACCAAAACAAGCCTTAAGGCCAAGTTTGGGAAGACTAAAAAAGTGCACTTTTTGTCTTTTTGGACTAAAAAATTGAGGTTAAAAATATGGATGTTTGGGTTAATTTTTTGATTTTTTATGGAAAAATGTGTAATAAAAAATCGTAAAAATTGGTTTGTAGAGGAAAATTTGAATGGGGAGTTGTGCAGCCGTAATTGTTGACGTTTGGTGAATAGTGTTAACTTTTTAACTTTTTGAGTAACTTTTTGGCTTTTTGGCTTTTTGGCTTTTTTTAAAGTCCCCAAACTTGGCCTAAGTTCCATCAAATGGGGTTGGCTACATGAATTCTTCTTCTCCACTCGACTCTATCAACGGTCATTTGGTTAGTTAAATTAAGGAAATTCATATCTCTATTTACTACATTAGCCCACGTCAATCTAGGTCTGCCCCTTCCCCTAACACTTCCATCTACCGTTTCTGTATCGCATCTCTTCATTACTGTCTCTGTTAGTCTCCATTATATACGACTAAACCATCTCAATTTATTCTCTTTCAAACTTATCTTCTATCGGTACTACTCCTACTCATTCACAAATATACTTATTCTTAACTTTGTCTTTTCTAGTCTTGCCACACATTCACCTTAGCATCCTCATCTCAGTAACACTTATCTTATTTACATGTTGTTTCTTAATTGTCCAACATTCCACCCCATATAACATCGCTGGCCTAATAGCCGTTCCATAGAACTTTCAATTTAGTCTAGTGGATACTCGTTTATTACACAGTACCTCAGACGCACTCTTCTACTTAAGCCACCCCGCCTTAATTCTATGAATCAAATCCGCTCCAATCTCCCCAGCCGTAGTGATAATGGATCCTAAATAACAAAAATGTTCACTCTTAGGTAATTTTTGATTCTCAATCTCCACTTCTCCTTTGCTTCCATTGTCACTATTACTATAATTACATTGCATGTACTTTGTCTTAGTTTTGCTTATCCTAAATCCTTTCAATTCAAGTGCTTCTCTCCAAGTCTCTAACTTAGTGTTAACTTCTTCTCTAGTCTCATCCACTAACACGATATCATCCGCAAAAAGCATACACCATGGCACAAGTTACAACCAATGCCAAAGCATCATATTCAGAAATGAAAATCTTAAAAACATCAATTAACAAGTGCTGCACCTGTTGCAATAGTAAACAGCATTATCTGCACTAAGTGCAATAGCGAAAGTATACAGTTCAATTGCGTCACAGTATAGCTTTGACTGCATAGCCCTGTTACCTACAGAAAAAAAGGCAGTATTACAACATATATGAGCTTGTATGCAAGCCAAAAAGACTGTAAAATAATTTGTGGGAAATGAATAGTCACATAAATGGAGCATCAAAATTAGACAACTGCATGCATAATATGTGTGTAAAGATAATAACCACCATGCAGAAACCATAATCACTCTGGTTTTGAATAACAGAAACAATAAAATCATTCTTGGAAGACCACGAAAAGATATTAAAACAATCCAAGTACAAATTAAAATACAAGTAACCGCCAATCAAACAAACGCCAATGATTAAAAAGTACCTTGTGATTTGAAGGTCTCAGCCAGGTTTCTCACATCAAAAATCTGGCATCCAGACTTTTTCATCTCCTGTATTATTTTTTTCCAACTCATCAAGAGATGTGCTTGGACAAATAAGAATAGCAAGAATGTGGAAATAAACAGGCAAAGAACACAAAATAAAAAATAAAATAAAAGCGAACCATTAGCCAGTGTTGGGTTCAAACGACAAATTATCAAAGAGAAAGAAGCACAAGAAATTGAATGAGATTTCTTGTATCCGTTTAACGTAGGCATAGTGTTGGCCTCTATTTTAGGATGTAAAGTAGAATTCATGCTTTCTACTAATCTGGGATTACCTTTGGGTTCTACATATAAGGCAAGTCATGTTTGGGATGACATTGTAGAAAGATTCCAAAGAAGATTGGTAGGATGGAAAAAAAAAAGGCAGCAGTACCAGTCTAGAAGTTGGCTTGTGTTGATTAAAAGTACGTTGTTGATTTGCCTACTTACTTTATGTCTATTTACTATTCAAGTTGCCAAGAGAGCTGAAAATTGCATAGGGACTTTCTTTGAAATAGAATGTCCCAGTTCAAGAATCATTTGGTGTATTGGGATACAGTTTGTATTCCTATTAAGGAGGGTGGTTTGGAGACTTGAAACTCAGCCTATGTTGTGCTTAGTGTTTTATCTTTTACGCAATCAGTCCCAAACCTAAAGCAAGGAGGGCTTTTGTAGGCTGACAGTTAACGTAAACCTAATAATCACACCTTTATAAACATGGATCCAAAGTATTCTTCAATTGGGGCATCGAATAGAATCAACTGAAAGAAGTGGGTCTACGTAGATGCAGAAAAAGCATATCCATGGGCACATAATCATACCATTGCAGCATTGTGAAATAAGTGTGTTGCTCTATCCAGTTGGCCCTGGTCATCATGTCCATCAGACATCGGGATGAAATAATGAATTTTTTCAAGTGCACCAAAAAATTGCCCAAAAAGTTCATCTTCGGAAGCTCCTGCCAGTAACATGATGAATAAGAAGAAAAAAAAAAGTGCATGCAACTTAAAGCATGCCCAACAAATCTCCTGGTTCAACCACATTGGTAAGTCTCCAATGTCAAATACACATGCATTAAAATTAGAATGTCCTTAACAATGTGAATATACTGAGATTATTATCATTGAAAACAGCTGTTAAGGCCTAACACTGTTAATTCTTTGTCCACTGAACGCAAAAAAACAACAAGAACTCTGAAAAGTGCATAATACAGAGGAACCAAAAATAGGAATTGCAATTCATATTTCAACCAGATTAGTGATTTAAAACTTGGACCTTTTCCAAAAGCTAAAAATAAATAAATAAATTTCAAAGAAATAAGGTAATGCTGGCAACGGTTTTGCTAAAGCGTTTGTGTGAGTTCATATTTAAGCAAAATTTTAAAAAACTAACTTCTCTTTTTCCAGATGCCTCTAACTCAACTACAATATACTCCCCTCTCAATTCAATAGTAAAAACCAAGAAAGAGATAATGAATCCTTCAGAGAAAAAAAAAATATAAGGAAAGCATGAAAGAAATATTTTGGTTGAAACAAATAAAAAAAACAAGAAGAAAATCAGCCTGTCATAAAACAGACTGCCAACGTGCTGTAACAGCCCATTAACACTTGTGATTACACGCTAAAGCAGGTTATATCAGCATCATCAGGTTATGTAACAGCCTTAGGCAACAGTCTCAGCACTTCTTACAGCAGTGAGTCACTGACCCAACCATTGTGCAGATGAGCAGGCAATTTTGACTTGGATGATCAAAATGGATTCAATCCTGCAGAATCAAAGGACGGATTCCAGCATGGGCCATTTTTGGTAATGATTTTAGATTGGTCTGTCAAAATGGGCTTACAATCCTTCATGATCCCCCTTCTGGGGTCCATCCTTTAATTCAACAGGATTTAAGTGGGATTGTGACCTACTGTGTCATGTCTCTCCAAGGCTTCACCCTCCCATGTACCAATAATACTAAGAAGAAGAAGAAGACAAATTACCTACCCTTAATATCAAACTTCAACAACACTGTACACCATCAGAAAGGTGTACATAAACATATTTGGTTGGAGCGTAACAGGCGTGTATTCCAAGGGGTGTCTCAGTCAATTTCTTGGTTGGAGAGGCGGCTACTTATGGTGTTATATAATTGGGTTACGGGATTGGTTGATCAAGATGTTTTAGCTTATGTTGATTTCATAGAGGATTTGCTAGTTTAGCATTGTTTCTTTGGGGGTTCGAAATTTGTATTCTTTGCATCATCTTGATGCTTTTCTAATAATTTACTTATTTATAAAAAAATAATAATAATAAAACATGAATACAAGACAAAGCAAGGCCTTACCTAAGGTGTGAGCTTCTCTCGTCCAATCCTCACCCTAATTAAGTTGATAAAAAATAAACAAATGAAACTCAAATTCACAAAATAAAAGAGTGTATAAATAAATAAATAAAATACAAAATGCATAGAGTCATAAAGCACTGCTTCATTTATGTACCTAGATAATATATATAAATATAATTTCATCTATATATCACAACAAGAAGCATCCTACAATAAGCTTAGCATTTTCAATATTAGAACACATCAATGGACTTCTAGTAAATTTTAATTATTAAACAAAACTTGATAACTAAACATTTAAAACATTGAAGCCTTGGATTAAAATCATTTAATTGCACTCAAACAGAGATATATATATATATATATATATTGTAAAACCAAACAGCAAGCATATAAATTTACCAAAGCTTGCACCTCAACCAGATAAAAAAGATAATCATGTCATCATTCCTAAAGCACAGTGCTTAAACCATAGGCACATTCTTCCTCTTTGTCTTTGTTCGGCCACTCTTCCCTCAGCAAATTTAAGGAATCCAAAATAGTACAAGTAAAGAATCACATACAAGCCCTAAATAAAGTAGATTATAAAAAGATAGCAAATGGATGAAGAATAAACCAGAGTTTGTGATGCCTCTGAATGATTAGCATCAGAAGCAATCTCAGCTGAGGATGTACTAGGTGCATCTGCTAATGATGCTTCATGAGTAAGATCTGATTTATGTTCTTGTTTCTCATTTGCTTCCCATGAATTGAATAGGTTAATCAACAAATCAGATTTTTCCCTGCTGTCAACAGAAGAAGGGTCAATCTTAAAGACCTCTGCCAAACATTCCTTGGCTACCTCAAGACCTTCAAGATCAACACCAGGAGCAGGTTCGACTGTATCAGAGAAACAACCATTATAAGAGAATTAACAACCAAATGCATATTCAAATGCATTCTAACAACAGTTGAAAACAAGAAAAGAAAATAACCATGCACCACCATTGCAAAACTGAAGTATGGTAACATATATGCAAAGTTTTTTTCTTAATAGTTAATATGCAAAACTAAGTAGGTAAACCAAATTTAGTAGTGCTAAGGGCATTGGAGTCTTAAGACATCAAAAATTTGAAGCAAACCAGCAATAAGCATAAAATAGCTCATGTGCCTAAAAATACTACAATTTTTTTTAATAGGGGTAGTAATGTATGTGTGTGATTGAACGAACTATTACATAGTTTTATGCATTTTCATAATTTTGGTCAACACATTTGCATAGTCTTTGAAAGTCAATATTTGGCACTTCAATTGGGAAAATACTAGATCCCACAGTGGACATAGTTCATGGAGTTGAAATTAGTTTAACCCACCTTTTATGATCATCCAATTGATATGAACACATTCTCCATGAACTAAATCTAGTCCCATCTTGCTGAAGGAAGGTTGGCACAATGATGAGGACAATTTACATGGCTTAAACGAATCCTTTGAACATAGTCTAACAAAATTAATAGTGCATAAGACTGCTCGGTGCACAAAATTAAGAAAATCACATGCTGTCTGGGAAGCATACAAGAAATGCTACAGCAGCTTTCAACTTCTCATAATATAACTTCATGATGCGTCATAATATGATGCCACAAAATACAGACTCAAAATATACCATAAACCAAAATCTAGGAGCTTAGAGTAATTCTTTGATTTACATCCACCACTCTAGACAAATTTTCATTCTTCCAAAGAAAAATTGCATCTATTTAATGCTCTCATTAAGCACAGTCATAATTTAAATGACATACGTAATCAATTACTTATTGACATCTCTGATTTCCTCGTCCTTTCAATCTTATTTTCCACCCCCACCGGAATCCTAAACAAAGAAAAATAGTAAAGCTGTACAGTAGACAACACAGATTGAACTAAAGCAAGCCTACCCGCCTCCCCCTTAAATAACATTGCCCTCTTCCAAGCTTTTACTAATCCTCTCAATAACTGAGGTCAAAAGCTTTTAGACTTGGGACTCTCCCCTATAGGGAGCACCAATTATTTAATGACAAAGATTCAATGGCGCACCCAAGTTGACCGCCACCCTATATAACGTATCCTGTGGAATATTAATACCAACTAAGAGCCATTATAAAATTTCATCTTAAGCAGCGACACCACCTCAAAGATTCTAAAAATAGAAAGCAAATTAACCACTTTAATTTCCTTAGTAGAGGAGAAGAAAAAGGTATCATCTGCAAAATATAAATATGAAACGGAAACCCTCTCACAACCTATCTCAAAACCATCCACCAAACCAATCTCCTTTGCCGTATCAACCTCCCTTCCCAAAATGCCACCCAATGCCCTCCACAACTTTATACCACGAGATATTGCCTTTGTGGACAACTATTCCCCCACATACATACATATTTTGATATCACCACCTCATCCCAAAACCTATCCCTTCACAAGAAAACCTCATAATCCATTTCCCTAAAAGAGCTTGAATGAAAATGGTGAGCTTCTGAATCCCCAAACCGAACCCACACAAAGGCATACCCTTGTTTGGTTCCAATTTTCTAAATTCAATTTTCTGAAATTTGAATTTTTTGTTTTTTATGTTTTTTTTGTTTATAGTGAATTTTTTTAATATTTTAAGCAAATATTTTACTTTTTAGATACATTTAACATAAATATAATTAAAAAGTATAATATTTGTGAAAAAAATCTTTAAAGAATTCACTAAATACCAAAAATACAAAACAAAAAATATACGAAAATTTAGTATATTTTCGTATTCTTGTGTATTCATTGATTTTTTTTTAAGCAAAAAAATTACAAATATTTTACTTTTTAGGTACATCTAGGTTAGGTCAATCTAAAAGTAAAAAAATTTCTTAAAATATTAAAAAAAAAATCACTGAAAAAAAAAACAACTCAATTTTCAGAAAATTGAATTCAAAAAATTGGAACCAAACAGGGTGCCCCAATCCACCAAATGATATTTAAACTCATTATATCCCACCCTAATGAAAATATCGTTACAATTTCTTGAAACTCTAATGGTGAAGAAGTATGCAAACTCTACATCCTTTAGATAGATATTGTCCCTTCCAACCTGTCAACTATCATTGGAATCACTCGAAAAATAGAAGCTCATACGTTCTTTTCTTTGAAAGAAGGTCCCTAATGACAAGCCCAAATAGGTAAAAGGCAAAGACTCAACCTTAATTTGCAAAAGCACAACATACCTTAGATTTAGATCCCCTCAATCATGGTAATCCATACAGTTGCAACGTGTCATTCCAAAATCAACAGTCTATAATTGTTAAGTCGTTTTGAATTTTAAAAATTATCCCTTTAACTGTTTTTTTTTTTTTTTTTTTAATTTGAAGTAAAGATATATTAATTTGGCTCTTTCAAGTTTCACCCCATGGAGCATCCAGATCCCAGACCTTAATATTCATCTCAATAAACAGTTCCAAAAAACATAGTATCAGAGAGAAAGAAACACATTGGTTCAATGGGAAACAAAATTACATCAAAATTAAGCTGCAAACATCAAGTTAGAACAAAATTACGAGGTCAATACAAATTGGAAGAATAGCAACCCCAGCACACCTCAGAAGCCCCAATCACTAAAAAAAATTGATACTTTGATACAACAGAATCAAACTTCAAACTTTAGATTGCAATAATTTAGTTCATTAAGATCAAAAGCCCAGCATGTATGTTTTGACACAAAATCTATATTTATATATAAGGAGAAGAGAGAGAAAGTGTAGAGAGAGAGAGAGAGAGAGAACCAGAATTGAGGAAGTCCAAGAAAGAGCGGACGATGCGACGACAGAGGGGAGAATCGGTCTTCAAGCTCGCCATTGTTGTAGGGTGAAACGATCAAAACGAAGGACTATAAGGTGCGCATGATAAGATCGGTACGCACCACTGTGCCAATCAGATGTGAGCGTTTCGGATGGACTCGTCTTGACCAAGTTATTCCATAGTCCATTTGGATTTTCGGATTCACTTTTCACAAAATTTTTAAATAAAAATATATATATATTAAAAAATTCATTTTTTTTTATTAATTTTTTTTAAGGGATTTTTATTGATAAGTCCAATTTAGAAGTGTTTTAACCCAAGAAATTCATGAAGGAATTTTTTAACCCATTTAGTCCCATGTATGTATAGTTTTATTCCATAAAGTCCATTTTCTTGATTTACACTATTTTCTTGGACACTTATGCCCTTATAATTAATTTTGATATCCTTATAAATATTTTTTCCTGTCTACCTATTTGTTCCATTACATGCTTCAAGTTTGCTAATTCTATCTAGTTGCACTCACAGTTAAGCTTGTTATGGATGAAAAGGTGAAGAGGTCAAAGAGGTATGCTTTTATTCAGTGCACTAGTCAAGACGATGCCTTGCTAGCTCTAGAAAGCATGGATCACAAGGTTTTACCAGCTATTCTTGTCTTGTTCTTGATTTTTGTCTATTTTTTTTTTTAAAACTTTAGAAACTAATATAATGCCCTTTTTCTTGTATCAGTATTTTGATGGCAGGGTGATCTTTGTGAAACTTGCAAAGCCAGGGCACAATGCGTTTGGTGTATACTCAAAAACCACCGGACCACCACAAGAGCAGAACATTGTGAATCAAGATGAGGCAACGGAGTGAGTAGGAGTATCACTTTTCAGATTTCTGTTTGGCTTGCAAAGTCTGCAACAGGTTAGGCTTAGCCTAGTGTTTGTGCATTGTTGATTCAATCTTATATGAAAGATCCTTCAAAAAATGATTTTTCTGTCTATGTGATGGGCACAACATTGAATGTTTACTTGGAAGTAAATGAGTTGTTGAATTGCTAGCCATTTTTGTTAAATGAATATACTGAATTACTGATAAGGTATTTTGTACAATAGAAGAAATCATTTGTGTGAACAAGGTGTTAGGTTTTATTTTTGGCAACCCCGGTTGACAAAACTCCTTTCAGTTGTATTTATTTTCGCACTTTTATTTCAGTGAGGCTATGAGTTTATTAGATGCGAATCCAAACCCGAATCGAACCATGCAGAGAAGTTTGTGATGTTAATGCTTTCAAGATTGCCACTTCGCTGATTATGACGGGGATCGAGCTGCCTGTCCGATTATGTTATTTTTTTCCAGTTTTTCCATTTTTGGCCTTCCCGCTCGAGCGGGGAAAGGGACGCTCGAGCGTGGATTGGAAGCTCTCAGCATCTCTGCAGTCGCCTGTAAAAATACTGGAAGGTGTGATTTTACGCTCGAGCGGATGCTCCTACGCTCGAGCGCACCTCAGTTTGTTCGCACGCAGTTTTTGGTCAGTCCGCTCGAGCGGGCTGTGTTGAGCTCGAGCGGAGATCGCGGGACAGATTCTATAAATTCGCGTGTTGGGTCAGATTTTAGGAGAACTTCTCCAGATTTTCTTTTTGGGTTCTAGGGTTTATATCTGGAGATACTTTGGGAGTTTTCTTTGATGTTTTTATTGAGTATTCAACTCATGATCTAAAGAGAGTACATCAAAGGTTTGTTTTGTTCTACAAAAGAGAGAGTTATTCTTCAGTTGTGGATTCTGAAGAATTCGAGCCTGAAGCTTTGGTGGAATCCGGAGTGGCTCATCAGAAAGACAATTCCGTGGTGAAGATGGGGTTGGAAGAGGCACATAAAGGTTGGTTCAATTAGGCGTTGTGGATTCGCTAGGTAATTGAGAGTATACCTGTGTAATTCCTTTAATTCTTCTTAGTGGATTGTTCTTGTGGCTGTTGCCCGTGGTTTTTTTATCACAGTTGGAGGTGTCCAATTGTGGTTTTTTCCACGTTATATCGTTGTGTCTCTTTGTCTTGATTGTTTGATTGTTTGATTGGGATTGCTATATTCTGCTTAAAATTGATACATAATCACAAATCAACATCTAGGAGATTTCTAGATTTTTTCAATTGGTATCAGAGCGGGTCGTTCTATTTTGGTAATTATGTCACCCATAGGACTTATTGAAACATAAGAAAATAATGTGAACTAAATGGAACATAAGTAGATGAAAAGGGTATTTTGGTCTTCTTATCTCAAATTGGACCTAATGGAATAGTCAAAAAGAATATGGGTTGGATGGAATAAAGCTCTTAGAAAATGGATTTATCAAAAAAACTCCATTTTTTTTAATATTCTCAGTAATGTTTTTAATTTTTAGATATAGTTAACATAAATATATTTAAAAACTATAATATTTATGAAAAAAATCTTTAAAAAATTTACTAAATATCAAAAATACAAAAAATATATGAGAATTCAATATATTTTTTGTATTCTTGTTTATTTATTTATTTTTTAAAATATTTTACAATTTAGATACATCTAAAAAAGTAAAAAAAAAATTTACTTAAAATTTTAAAAATGTTCATTCAAAATATGAAAAATAAAAAACTTATTTTTAGAAAATTGAATCCAAAAAATTGAAACTAAACATACCTATTTTTTACTTCCTCAATTATTCATTAAAAATTAATTCGATTGAACTATTTAAATATAGATTAATTGGATGAAAAATTATTGGTTGGTTCAGGGATACCCGTGGCTATATTCTTGACTAATCATAAATTTCATATCTCCTCATATTTTTCAATCATCCAATACAAAATCGTGAAAACTCCAACTACAATACATATAGAGTATTACGTAGCGTTGCCCTGAACCAACCAATACCGTATATACTTAGACCTCCATTTTTTTTTTTTTTCCCCTTCTCCTCCTCAGACAAGGTTAGTATGTTATTATAATTAGATTACAATTGAAGGGCCGTTGTTGCTCCATTAACTCAAATCTTTAACCTCTCACTCACTACACTCTAAGGTGTAGCTACTAAACCATTGGGTCACACCCCAATGTCTTATACCTCCATGTCTACCCAGTGATAAAACTTATAATTTTAATCCATGAATAACAAGTTATAGCATTTTGGCCTTATTTGGAAAGTTAGTTATTAGTTAGCTATTTGATTTTGTATCTATTTTTTACCTGACTAAAATAGTTATATTTGGAAAGTTTATTATTTATTTTTTTTGTAATTAAATTGATAATTGTGTAAGAGAAAATATTTTTGATTTTGATATTGAATATATTATTGGTAATCAAAATTCTATCCCTGATTTCTTTATCCGAAAATTTTTAACTCTTAGTAAACCTTTTACTCCATATCTTAATAAACTCCATGCCGAATTTAAATCTAAAGCCAATAAGTCTAAACGACAAACCTATAGAAATAATTATAATAAACACCAACAATCCACGATTACCAAGAAATGGTATAAATTTGTGAACGAAGTAAATACTGAAATTCACTTCTTTGATTATCTTGAAAATTATTATCAAAAGATAAATACTATTACAAAAACTAAATGAAAAACTTCTCCTAATACTTTTGTTTCTTCCAGTCATCCTCCTCTAGAAACTATTCTCATGGAACATAAAAGTGTTATTGTACATGCTTCTCCCTTTAAATTTCGTGGCGATGAATCTGAAATCAAAAAAGTAATTGAATAAAATAATTATACCAATCAATATTTTAAAACTATTGGTAAACAATTAGATAAAATAGAAACTTCTTTTAAGGATTACTCCATTAATCATTCATCCACTAGTAAACCTTTAGACAAACCTCTTATTAATCTTCATAGCACTAGAAAACGATTAAGCCTAGTTACCCAAGACACTAATACTGTTAAAGCTATTGAACAATTATTTATTAAGATATCTACTACATCTAACGAAAAAGGAATTACTGTCCTAATACAACAACCACCTACTGAATTTAGTAGTGACTCCAACACATCCACAAATAAAATTGATAAATTAACTCAACAATTCTAGACTACTAATCTTAATCGAATCACACATCCCAAAATTAATCCTACCACTCTTACCAAAAATTGGTATCCTAAGCCTACACCTCCCAATCTTCAATTCGAAGAAACAAAGATTAACAATCAATTTTCTGTTTCGGCTAAAAAATTATATGAATGGAATATAGATGGTCTTAGTGAAAATCAAATTCTTCAAAAATTAAATCATGTCTATGGTTGCAAATAGTAACCTTAGTAATTATCCTGATTACACTCAACCTGAAATGGTCTCTTTACTTACCTCTAGTTTTACTGATATGCTCAAATCTTGATGGGATAAATATCGCACTTCAGATCTACGTGAATCTATACAACATGCAGTCCAATTAGATGAAAATGATATCCCAATCTTTGATGAAGATGTAGAATCAAGTAAACCCAATATTATTAATACTTTAATTTACTACAATCAAACATTTTATTGGCACACCTTCTAATGTCCATTCTCGCATCCATGATCATCTTAGTAATTTAACTTGCCTTACTTTAAGCGATTTTCGATGGTATAAAGATGTTTTTACATCTAAAGTCATGCTTAGAGATGATTGTACCAAGTCATTTTAGAAAGAAAAATTCATTAATGGATTACCCAATCTTTTTGCCCATAAAATTTGAGATGTTCTTAGTCAATCTACTGGTATTATAGAATATGATAATTTAACTTATGGTGATATAATTAGTACCATTCAAAAAGAAGGATTAAAAATGTGCATAGACATGAAACTTAGTCAAAAAACTGTTAAGGATAAACACAAAGCTAAATACGAATTAGAAAATTTCTGCGAACAATATGATCTACCTCCTATTGCACCATCACGACGCAAACATAATAACAAGAGATCTTCACACAAATACCCTGCTAAATATAAGAAGAAATATTCACCTACCAAATCACCCAATAAATATTATGCTAAACCAAAAAAGAAATATCACAAGCAAACTAATCACTTTAAGAAGAAGTCAAAATCTACCCAAGATGTTACTTGTTACAATTGTGGAAAAAAGTTAAAGAAAAACTTAAGAGTAAGCTTAATCAACTACAAATTACTGAAGAACATCAAAATCAAATATTCGACATATTTAAACTAACTAATACCCCAAATTA